GTCAGTCCTACTGGAGCCCAGCAGGATGGGGGGGGGGGGCAGGGGGGGTAAGGGGGGTAAGAGAAAAGAGGCAAATGGGGGGGTTCAATCTCTTAAGTAAATGAGTCTCTTATGTGCAGGGAGGAGACTGCTTTTATCTGAGTTCACTGTGTTGCAAGGAAGGCCAGCTCAGACACTCAGTCCCCCTCTCCTTCCCTTCCCGAACAGGTTTCTGTCTTTGATGTGTGTCTCAGGTGTTCTGCTGCCCCACTCTGTTAGTGTAGACTGTACTGTACTATTCAAATGATTTTGCAATGACTTCAGCATCTACAAACATCTTTAATGGCTGGATATTGGAGCAGGCAGACTTCCGTTGATAAGGTCAATGTTTGAAATTGGTCTGTTTGCACTACTGTAGTGACCGACTGTGCTAGAATATTTTAGAAAGCCCATTTATTTAAAAAAAAAAGTTATGTTTTAATGTACAGTTGGGTTGTTTCATTATTTACTATCTACGGAGCGGCACCAAGATTTGTGTCTAGATGATGGCAGATGATAGATGATCTTCTTACAGCTTTCTCTCTTTTTAAAAAAAAAAAGTATTTAAAATACTACCTGAATCAGATTGTCTGCTGGATGTCCATTTAAGACTTTTTCAAACATTAAAATGGACGTGTGTTATGGGTCATTGTACAGCAATATACAGTTGTTATGCAATATTTTTCATAGGATAATGGTTGACCTGGGTTGGGCCTCTATTTTTTTGTTTTTAAAGATTTTCAGCTTTCTTTTTAGAAGTGGAATTAGAAGAAGTACTTTCTTTGCTAGATTGTCTACTGGAGGTGTGTTTGACAGACAGGTGCCCAACCATTCATATCATACACTATCACCACCTCATTAAGTGAGGCAGGGGCAGGCAACACATTACCAAGACAGACACAGTGTCTACAGGGCAGCCATTAGGATCAACAACAGACCCCTGCTGGGCTCCTGGCAGGGGGAGCTTGTTAAATGTGTGCACCTATTGTTCTCCCAAATTGGTCTGTGACTCTAATTGCCCAGTTAGTCCCCTCTTACGGGCTGTACTCGTCTACCCGAACTGGAACCAGGCTCCACTCATCAGATGAGGCTGTAAAAGTTGGCTAAGCTGGGGCCGACAGGAGGCCTCTGGCTGGCTGCAGGAGTGTCGTCCTTGATGCAGACAGGGCTGGTATACAGGCACAGAAATTTTAGTTGGATCGGTCAGAATGGGCTTTACTTTGCCATTCCAGAGGCCACAATGACCATGGCAGGCTGGGTGGGATAGAGACCTCTGATTCATGAGGGAAAGTCCTCAAAAAGGCCCACAGGCATCAGCCCCAGATACACATCTAAATCTGGGGACAGACTTCCAAACAAATACGATAATGCTGTAATGTAGTTCTATTGTTAAATTAAGAGGCTTAAATACATCGGGCAGAGAGAACGAGACAAATTAGCACTTATGTCTGTGCCCCTGGTCTGCATCTCAGGACGAGATCTCCGGTGTCTTGAATGGGATGTTGGCATATTATTGTAACTGACAGCAGAATTTGCTTGTTGCTGTGGTTATTTGTGGTAATACGAAGAGGTTTTTTTTTCAGTTCAGGTCCTCATAAAATCTTGTCTTAATAAACTGTATATAGATGTCCTTCTAAGAAAGGGAATACGTCTTCAGCATCACACTGAAGTTGCACAAAGTTGCTGTATAACACAAAAGTTGGTGTTTTCATGATGATGCAGAAATGTCTTTGCTGCTGATGCATCAAACCGATACGCAAATATTATTTTGTGTTATTGGCAGATTAAAGCCAGGTGAGCTTTGCTAATGAGAACTGGAGGCTGTGCAGATGAAAACCCTCCAATTAGGAAGCAGGCACACATGAAAGAGATGAGCAATATGAAGGAGACTGTCTACAAAAACCTTCATGACTTCATTCAGAGATGCAGTTTTGTTGCCCTCAGCAAATCTTCTTTACAGGAATTTGTTTTCATTTATTGTTCTCAGAAGGATATAAAATAGGGAGTGGACAAAATAACAAACACATTCACTCTTGATGAAACTGAGTCATTATTGCAAACACTGCAAAGATTGTGCGTCAAGTAGCGGTGAATTTCAGCCACATATTGTACACTTCGACCACCAACAGTTAGTTTTTAAGTTTTCCATGAGGTTTTCACATTTTCTACCTCCTGGACTTATAAAAGCAAATAAAGCAGCCTTCAACCTTCTGTGACTGGGGCAGTAAAAGCTGGGCAGTGATTGCCCATTGTCCCCCTCCCTTCTTCCCCCCC